TGCTCACCTGCCCGCAGTGCCCGCTGGACCGGAACGGTCCCGATGCTCGCCCCGGGACCGCCCCGTCGCAGCCACGCCCAGGAAGGAGGCAGAGGGCTGAGCGTGAGTCTTTATTCGGGGGTCAGATACAGCAAGGGGGGCACGGGACAGAGGTGGGGATCCCAGCCGGGCTACCGGGGGGTTCCAGAGTGTGGGGTCACGGCAGACAACTGCGAGGGTCCCGGTTTGTACTGGGGGGTCACGGCACGGCAGCCAAAACAGAGCCCTGTTGGGAGCCCTGGTGGCTGTTGTAGCTTAACCCCAGCCGGCCCCAAGCACCTCACAGCCGTTTGTTCATCACCCCTACCCCTCCATCTCCCATCGGGATCAGGGAGAGAGTGGAAGGGTAAAAGCCAGAAAACTCGTGGGTTGAAAGAAACAGTTTAATAGTAAAAGCAAAAGCCGTGCAAGCTAGTTTATAACGAAGTCATCCAATGCCTGGATGGGAGCCGGTGGCCATGGTGAAGCCAGAAGTTGTGCAGGGTCTATGGGAGCACCTCCTGCCCAGTCCCATCCTTGGCCTCTGCCCAGTGCAGCCCAGGTAAAGCCACTGCCCATATGGCCTCGCTGTGCAGAGGGACAGGCAGCAAGGCTGGAAACACTGTCTGCTGTCATTCCTTCCTGGAGCATGGCAAATCTCCAGGTGCAGGGCAGGTACCTGAACCACGACACACACCAAGCACCCCCACACAGATATGCCAGCACTGTTCATTTATTGTTTAAAATTATTTTATGACTAAAATTTTTCCAAACCATTTGAAGCTGAAGCTGTGGGTGGGATGGGGCTTTCCAGCACCTGCCATTTGAAGAATCAGGGTGGAAGGAAGGAATCTTGCTTTTATTCTATTGCATGGATCATAGGTAGTTGTACAGTCGGCTGCTGCTCAACAGGCAGATCGGGCGATACTTTTTGCCCCTGCAAAGACAGAAGAGTGATGTTCCAGGAGCATTGAGGCTGCCTGCTGAGGGACAAGTATGAGGCAGAGGCAGTCAATGGCTTCTCCTAGGCAGGGAGAGTCAAGGGTCTCCATGGACTGTGCCAGAGATTTGGCCTGCAGCAAGCTCTGCTCCCTGAGCACATCCAAGCCCCTTTCTGCTCCCTCTTTATGCTTCTGGCCAGTGCTGCCAGTGGACACAGCAGTTCTTGCCAACGAGCAGGCACCTGCCTGCACACCCCTGGTGCCTTCAGCCTTGACCCCTCCTCCAGCAGGTTCTGGCTCTTCCCACCACATTGGGGATTGATCCCTACCCCATAGTTTGGGAAGATTTGAACCAGTGAGAAGATAAAGAACTGGTTGGTCTTTAGAGGAAGCCTGGGGGAACGCTGTGTTTGGAGGAACCCTGTGTTACCTGCCAGCACAGCCCAGCTCCCCTGCCCTCCCCACTCACCGATTGTGAAAGTGACGGCAAGAACCTTGGTCTTGCTAACTGACATGGCACTGAGGGCCACTGGCATACCACCTGCTGCTGCTGCAGGGAGGACAGCACAACATCAGGGTGCTCTCTGTGACCCACATCTTCCCCTGCCACCAACACCAGAACCGGCCTCCCCAAAAGCACAGCTCATCCCGTGCCAGACGCTCACCTATGACTACAGCTCCTATGACAATTCCAACGGCGAATGCAATGCCGATGCCTTTGGAATCTAAGAAGGAAAATGGCAGAAGAGCAGGAGTGTGGACACTAAAGCTCCTCCTGGCAGGAGCCCAGTGCCCTGTGCTGGGCAGGACAGGGGCCCGTGGCAGCAGCAGCTCTCCCAACCCCACCCTCCTTCAGCCCTGCAGACTCCCAGCAGGAGAGGGGAGAAGGGGCGAACCCCAGGGTCCCCGT